AAGAGCAACGGCTACGGCGATGCGGCGGACGTGACGGCGCAGTCCGGGATCGGCGATCTCGTTCCGCACTCCCGCATCGACGACTTCAACTTCGACCCGTGCGGCTACTCGATGAACGGCCTGGATGGCGAGGTTATATCGACGGTGCACATCACTCCCGAGGACGGGTTCAGCTACGCGAGCTTCGAAGTCATGGGATCAGTGGGTGTCGGCGCTAAGGGTCCTCTCTGGCAGGCGACCGGCGGCGATCTCGGCGAGCTCGTCGCCAAGACCGCTCGTACCTTCCTGCCTGGACGCCTGACCGTCGCTGTGCACTCCAGCGAGGTCGCTGCGGAAGTCGGGGTCGGAGGCAAGGCGTGGACCAATCTGAGCGCGCCACGTGGATACGCTTGCGCTGGGTCGAGCTGCCACATGCTTCCCGGCGGTGCTGCTGTGTCGTACGTGTGCTTCGACTCCCTTGAGTTTGCCGGGTGCGGCGGCGCGCTGCGCGGCGACATGCTGCTGGGCAACCTCCTTCCTTCGTTCGACTCTTTCAGGTCCGACTCGTCGGACTCCCTCGCGTCCATTGACTCCTCCGATGACATCATTATCCTGGGAGAGTCTTTGGAAAACAAACCGTCACCGCTTGCTCTTTCTCCTGCCGTCTCTGTTTCCGTCTCCGAGACGGAGAAGCTGTATGGCGCCAAGGCTGCTGCCGTCGTTGCCGATCTCGCGCCGTCTCTCATCGGCGCGTCTCCCGCCGCGATCGACGCTCACATCCGCGCGTGCGTAACCGACGGCCTCGACTCCGCCTTCTACGTCATGGACGCCGGCGTCGCACTGCAGCTGCACGCCACGTGGACGCAGCTGATGCCACGTGTGCACCCCTTCTACGCCGTCAAGTGCAACCCCGACCCGGCGCTCCTCTCCCTGCTCGCATCCGTCGGCGCAGGCTTCGACGTGGCCAGCAAAGCTGAAATGGAAATGGTCGCCGCGTCCTGCGGCGGGTCCCTCCCGGACTCATCCCGCATCATCTACGCCAACCCCTGCAAGCTCCCGGCGCACATCCGCTTCGCCGCAGCGGCCGGCGTGAACATGACGACTTTCGACTCGGTCACGGAGCTGCAGAAGCTGCGCCGCTGGAACCCCTCCGCGCAGGCGGTGCTGCGCGTGCGCGTGGACGACCCGGGCGCGCGCTGTCCCATGGGGGTGAAGTATGGCGCGGAGGCGGAGGAGTGTCCGGAGCTGCTAGCAGCCGCGCAGGAACTCGGCGTGGAGGTGGTGGGCGTGGCGTTCCACGTGGGCAGTGGAGCCAAGGACCCGCGCATCTTTGGTGACGCGATCGCGCTGGCGAGGGACATTTTCAACGTGGCGGAGCAGCTGGGCATGGCGCCGCTGTCGCTGCTGGATATCGGAGGAGGTTTCACGTATGATGGACTGCAGGATGATGACTATGCGAACAATGCTGCAGCAGAGGACGGTGCTGCTGATGGCGAGATGTCGTTCCTGAAGGCGTGCTACTCTGTGAACGTGGCTCTCGCCAAGTATTTCCCTGAGGAGATGGGCGTGCGCGTTATTGCTGAGCCTGGGCGCTTCTTCGCCGAAGCTCCCTTCACTCTTGCTGCCAAGGTCTTCGGCGTGCGCTCGCGCAACACCACTGCTAACAAGGCCGCCGCTCTCGCTGCTCTCACCAAGCACGCGTCTAGCTCCTCGTCCGCGGAGAACGCGTCTGCTGCTGCGCAAAGCGCTGCAGGGAAGGGCGCGGTGATGGAGTACTGGATCGACGATGGCATCTACGGGTCCATGAACTGCCTGCTGTACGACCATGCGGTTATCTCCGCTCGCCCTGTCAAGATGGCTGCAGAGGGGGTGGAGGAGGGGCAGCTGTGCCGGTCGACGGTGTTTGGGCCGACGTGCGATGGCTTGGACACGATTCTGAGGGATGTGTGGCTGCCGCGCCTTGACCTGGACGACTGGCTGGTGAGTGGGAGATGGCTGCATTTTCGTTTCCTGGAGGTTGGTGTTTTTGTCACATTCTCTTGTTAATGTGGGTTTCATAGTGGGTTGCTGTTTTCTGCTTCTAACCTGGTGTTTTTTTTTTTTTTTTTTTTTCCCCTCCTGCAGGTGTTTTCCAAGATGGGTGCATACACCCAAGCAGCTGGGTCCAGCTTCAATGGCTTTGCCACATCTGACATTGGAACAGTCCGGGTCTTCTCGTCGGCCTTCCCGGAGGGCCTCGCAGAGGCTGCTGCTCGCCTGCATGATCGTGTGGCTGATGCCCTAGCCTCCTCGGACAGTGATGCTGCCAGCTCCTTCTCTGGCAGTGATGAAGAGGAGGGTAGCGACTGGGACAGCAGCTAGAATGTTGGGGAGAGTGAATTGCTGCTGGGCTTGCTTGTAGTTCTCTGGGTCTGGTTCTGGATCACCTCCGCTGATACATTCCCACTTTCTTGTTTGTTTGATTTACATTTTGAACTGAACGTGCTGCTGCTGTATGTAAAGTGGACCTGCATTCCTGATTGGATATTGCTTTTAAAGCTTTTGAAGACTCTGACCAGCCTTTGTAATTTGTGTATGCAGAAGAACAAGCTTGGACAAAAATCATGATACAACCTTAGTATACTCTTTCAAAACATTGTGGTTCTATTCTTCATCAAGTAAACATTTTTCAAATCGTACATAGTAAACCCGCTTTAGAACTACTCAAATTGAAATGACGGTGGCGCGGTGAACCCAAATGGCGAAATAGCTGCCCTCCCAAGCCAATTTGAAGGATCGTGTCCAACAAACCCGGCGCGGTGAATATACAGGCACTGCTTTCCCAACAAGGCTGCGGACGGAACCTCTGGCAACAGTCGTGAACGCGACTGGCAACTCTCGAAGATTCGTCGCAACACATCCTGCTTCCAGCTTTTGACCGAGACGTACACATTTCGCAAAGGCGATGCCATACAGGACGACTCTACTCGCTCCAGGCAAGTTTTCGCACGAGGATCGCATGCTTCAGTTTGCCTGCCTGATCCGTACTCCACATTTCGCAACGAATTATCGTCTCTTCGCACGATTCGCATCGCACACCTCCCACTGTACACTGAACCGTATGGTACAGTTTCATGTCAACCTCCATCGCCCGAGCCGACTCGGCTTGGCTGTCCAGATAAGACTCTCACACTTTCTCCACCATCTCAGCTGGATAGTATGAGCGGACTACCGACCATTCGCGCCGCGTTCAAACTGCCTCCGCTTCCAGTCCACACGAGTTCGTTTGTTGCTGTTGTTGGCTATGGGTTATGCACAGATGCTACGTCGAGTCCGTATGCGGGTGATTACTCGTCGCCGAGGTATTTTTTCGAGTCAACTGTCGAGTCTGGGATCGCCGTCTCTCTCAGCCAGCCAACGAGTGTGACGCTCCATTGCAACACGACAGATCGCCCATTCCCATCCATGCTAACACGACGTGAATGAGAGGTTCCACGGCGGATTGCCCATTCCCATCCTCGCAGTCTGTCCTACTATCAATCTTTCTATCCCGGCGCCGGGTTGACTCCCGCTGACCCGGCATTTGCGGCCGACACGAGCAAGCTGCTGCACTGCAGCCCTGGCGGTTTTTTAGTCGAGCGACTCAAAACTTGTTGCGCGCTGCTGCGGCGTCGCGAAGCTGCGGCAGATAGGAACGAACAACCGGATTGGAAACGCGAACGGTGTGAGTGGCGATCTGCGAGGATCCGATCTGATCATTACTGATCTGCCTCCTACTTGCAGCCGTGGATCATTACTGAGGCGAACTCCTACTAGAACGCTGCTGATGCGAAATGAGTGTGTTTTTGAGACGTCTCAAGAACTGATCTGCCTCTTGCAGTCGTGGATCGCGAAGCGAACTCCTACTAGAACGCTGTTGATCCCCCACCTCGTTACTACGAAACCGCCGGCTAATACCATCGTCAGAGGCATCATACCTTCTGTGATAGAACGACGCGATAGTACGCGCTGATCGACGTTTTGCCTAGAGCGGCTCGAGACATGATGTTAGTAAGCGCTGATCTTTCAGCAGTGGCGGTACTACTGCCGTGACCTTTCAGTCGACTCAGAAATCGCCCCGAGCAACGCGAGTACCAGTGCGCGCTGCGCGCTGATTGACTTCATGAAAATCACCTTTGAGAATTCTCCTCGAGCATAAAAAATCGCCCCGAGCTACGCGAGTACTAGTTCGCGCTGATCGACGTTAGTGGGCGACGCTATGCGACTAGAACCACTGCGGCAGTGAGTCGTCAGGCGACGTCGTGTGCGACGGCTGCGACGACTGCGACGTCGAAGGTGGCGACGACGGCGATGAGGATGAGCCGGGCGACGACGAATACCAGGAGATCGATGAATCGTCTCATTCTACTATGCCTATTCATGCTGTCGCCTCTGCTCTTTCGCAATTCGCCAACAGCAATTGCTCAGACAATCGCGCCAATTTCAGCCGCCCAGACGGTCGGGCCGACTACTGCCGCCCAGACAGTTGGGCCGACTTCTGCCGCCCAGGCAGTCGCGCCGACCACAGCCGGCCAAACGGGAGCAGTTTCCGGCTCGGCTCAAATAAGCGCTTCGGCGGCGCGTCGCGAGTTCTTCGAGGCGCGCGAACTGAAGGAGAACTCGCGCGCGAGGAGCATCAGGGATTTCCGGCAGTACCTGCTCGCGCTGCTCGCGGGACTGCCGCCGCCGCCGCCGGTGCCGCCGTTGCAAGCGGAGAGGCCGCGGCTGATCCTGCTTCCGGACAACTCGATGGGAGCGCGATGCTTGGACGGCAGGTAGGGTGAAGGGGAAGTGGAATGGGGAAGGGGGGGGAATTCCTACTGATCTGCCGTTGCAAGTGGAAAGGCCGCGGCTGATCCTGCTCCCGGAGAACGCGATTGGGGCGAGATGTCTTGACGGCAGGTATGAACAAGGGGGAAGGGGGCAGGGGGAGCGGGGAGATTCCTACTGATCTGCCGTTGCAAGCGGGGAGGCCGCGTTTGATCCTGCTCCCGGAGAACGCGATGGGGGCGCGATGCCTGGACGGCAGGTAAGAAGGTGGTTGTGGTTGGTGCGGTTGTGTCAGGAAAAAGGGGAAGGACGAAGGGTGTCCGTGAGAATTCACAACGCGATGGGAGTGAGATGCGTGGACCGCAGGCAAGAAGGTGGTTGTGGTTGTGTCAGGGGAAAGGGGAAGGGCGTAGGGGGTTAAGGGTAAGGGGGTAGGGGGAAAGGGTAAGGGGGAAGGGGGGAATTTGGAAGTGGTGATTGGCGGATGGGAGGGAACAGGGGGGAGCGGAGAGGTTGCGAGTGATTCTGCTGCTACATGAATCGGTGGGGCCGAGATGCCTGGATGCCTGCATGCCTGGATGCCTGGATTCCCCACCTTTTCCCCCTCTTTCCCCTCCCTCTCCACCCTCACCCCTATCCCCACACACTTAACACACCCTCCCTTTCCCCCCAGGGTACTATTTCCGGCCGGGCACGGGGAGTGGCACGAACATGTGGCGCATCTCTCTCCCTCCACCCTCCCCTGCTTCCCCCGTCCCTTTCCCCCCCAGCCCCCCAGGGTACTATTTTCGGGCGGGCACAGGGGGGGACAGGAGCGTGTTGCTCATCTACGCCACATCTTGCCTTCCACCCGCCATCCCCCTCCGCACCCCAGCCCCCCAGGGTATTATTTCCGGGCGGGCACAGGGGCCGGCACGAACATGTGGCACATCTATCTTCCGGGCGGCGCGTGGTGTGGCTCTGCCGCCCAGTGCGTGGCCAGGAGCAGGACGTGGCTTGGAAGCAGCAACTTTTATCCTTATGACCCTGACAGCAAGGTGAGCAGTGTGCACATGCATACAAAGGCACATGGATGGCCCAGTGCGAGGCGAGGAGCAAGACGTGGCTGGGCAGCAGCACGTTCTACCCTGATGTGATCCGGACAGTACGTGCTGTCAGAGTGGGTGTGCCTGCACATGTGCATGTGCATCTGTGTGCATGTGCATCTGCGTACCTGCGCATGTGCATGTGCATGTGCATGTGCATGTGCATGTGCATGTGACGCACATGTACCTGAACTTCCTACCCAACCACGTTCCTCTTCCCGCTTCACTTTACCCTCCCCCTCAGGTCGTCCGTCCCCCTTTCGGCGGCATTCTGAGCAGCAACAGCAGCACCAACCCGGCCTTCTCTTTCCACTTCGCATCTCCGCAACCTCAACCCCTCACTTCCCCATTTCTCCCCCCTCAGGTCGTCCGCCCTCCTTTCTGCGGCATTCTGAGCAGCAACAGCAGCGTCAACCCGGCCTTCTACAACTGGAACCTCGTCCGCCCCATCTACTGCGATGGAGGGGGGTTTGCAGGGACGACTGGGAGGGTGGAGGTGGGAGGGGGGAGAGCCGTGTACCTGGAAGGGTGGAATATCCTTCGCGCTATCATGGATGGTGAGTTGACTTTTGAGGCCCCTCATAAGTCAGGGACGACTGGGAGGGTGGAGGTGGGGGGAGGCAAGGTGCTTTAGCTGGATGGGTGGAATATCCTTCGAGCGATCATGGATGGTGGGTGGTGGGAAACATTTATATTTATTATTTTCTCAACAGCGCTTCAGGATTGCTCCTTGTCACAATTCCTCTCAGGCTCTCCCTTCCATCCCACGCAATCAGATCTGAAATCGAATCGGGGGTTCAAATCGGCAGCGCAGATTCTCCTCTCGGGCAGCTCAGCGGGTGGCCAAGCAGTCGTGGCTCTCTGCGATCGCATCGCTGCCGCCTTCCCCTGGGCCGCAACCAGATGCATCTCCGACTCGGGCTTCTTTATCGGTGAGTCTTCATTGGTGAGGTGAGGACTCACTTCATTGCATCTCACCGCATCTCACCGCATCTCACCGCATCTCACCGCATCTCACCGCATGTCACCGCAGTCAGCGGGTGGCCAGGCGGTCGTGGCTCTCTGCGATCGCATTGCTGCCGCCTTCCCCTGGGCCGCAACTCGCTGCATCTCCGACTCGGGGTTTTTTATCGGTGAGTCGGGCTTTTCTATCGGTGAGAGTCCATCTGCGAGTGCATTGAGTCTGTGTGATCAAATTCAGGCTCATGCTTCCCCTGGGCGGCCACCAAATGCATCTCCGACTCGGGCTTCTTTATCGGTGAGTCTTCATTGGTGAGGTGAGGACTCACTTCATTGCATCTCGCCGCATCTCACCGCATCTCACCGCATGTCACCGCAGTCAGCGGGTGGCCAGGCGGTCGTGGCTCTCTGCGATCGCATCGCTGCTGCCTTTCCCTGGGCGGCAACTCGCTGCATCTCTGACTCGGGGTTTTTTATCGGTGAGACCGTGTAATCAGATTCAGGCTAGGGCTTTTTCCCTGGGCGGCAACCAAATGCATCTCCGACTCGGGCTTCTTCATTGGTGAGGTGAGTGAGACTGTGTAACCAAATCCAAGCTACGGCTTTTTCCTGGGTGGCAATTCATCAGTGGGTCTTATTTGGTCATTGGTGAGGTGAGTGAGACTGTGTAACCAAATCCAACATCTACAAAATTGCGTGGTCCCCAATCTGTCCCAAAACCACTACACTCTTGAAGCTACGGCTACGGCTTTTTCCTGGGTGGCAATTCATCAGTGGGTCTTATTTGGTCATTGGTGAGGACTCACTTCACCGCACCTCACCACATTTCACCGCATCTCACTTCATTACTGTTTCAGATTCCAAGGATCGCACGGGGGGTTTCACATGGCGCAACTATGCCAAGAACGTGGTTGACATTATTCACCCTCATTGACCCTCATTGACCCTCGTTGACTTGGCATTCCTGGTTCCCTCACTGCCAGACTCCAAGGATCGCACGGGGGGTTTCACATGGCGCAATTATGCCAAGAACGTGGTTGACTTTATTCACCCTCGTTGACCCTCATTGACCCTCGTTGACTTGGCATTCCTGGTTCCCTCACTGCCAGACTCCAAGGATCGCACGGGGGGTTTCACATGGCGCAACTATGCCAAGAACGTGGTTGACATTATTCACCCTCGTTGACCCTCATTGACCCTCGTTGACTTGGCATTCCTGGTTCCCTCACTGCCAGACTCCAAGGATCGCACGGGGGGTTTCACATGGCGCAACTATGCCAAGAACGTGGTTGACTTTATTCACCCTCGTTGACCCTCGTTGACTTGGCATTCCTGGTTCCCTCACTGCCAGACTCCAAGGATCGCACGGGGGGTTTCACATGGCGCAACTATGCCAAGAATGTGGTGGACCTGCATCAGCCCAAGTGGTCGTGCATGGATGGTGAGATCCGCAACCGCTCTTCACCGCACTTCACTGCACTACAGCACACTGCACTACAGCACACTGCACTACAGCACACTGCACTACAGCACACTGCACTACAGCACACTGCACTACAGCACACTGCACTACAGCACACTGCACTACAGCACACTGCACTACAGCACACTGCACTACAGCACACTGCACTACAGCACACTGCACTACAGCACACTGCACTACAGCACACTGCACTACAGCACACTGCACTACAGCACACTGCACTACAGCACACTGCACTACAGCACACTGCACTACAGCACACTGCACTACAGCACACTGCACTACAGCACACTGCACTACAGCACACTGCACTACAGCACACTGCACTACAGCACACTGCACTACAGCACACTGCACTACAGCACACTGCACTACAGCACACTGCACTACAGCACACTGCACTACAGCACACTGCACTACAGCACACTGCACTACAGCACACTGCACTACAGCACACTGCACTACAGCACACTGCACTACAGCACACTGCACTACAGCACACTGCACTACAGCACACTGCACTACAGCACACTGCACTACAGCACACTGCACTACAGCACACTGCACTACAGCACACTGCACTACAGCACACTGCACTACAGCACACTGCACTACAGCACACTGCACTACAGCACACTGCACTACAGCACACTGCACTACAGCACACTGCACTACAGCACACTGCACTACAGCACACTGCACTACAGCACACTGCACTACAGCACACTGCACTACAGCACACTGCACTACAGCACACTGCACTACAGCACACTGCACTACAGCACACTGCACTACAGCACACTGCACTACAGCACACTGCACTACAGCACACTGCACTACAGCACACTGCACTACAGCACACTGCACTACAGCACACTGCACTACAGCACACTGCACTACAGCACACTGCACTACAGCACACTGCACTACAGCACACTGCACTACAGCACACTGCACTACAGCACACTGCACTACAGCACACTGCACTACAGCACACTGCACTACAGCACACTGCACTACAGCACACTGCACTACAGCACACTGCACTACAGCACACTCCCACCTTCTGATGCTTCATTTCCTGTCCTCCCCCTCTCTCCCTCTTCCACACACGCCGTCCCCCCCCCCGCAGGCCTCCCTAAGAGTGACCAGTGGAAGTGTTTTTTCCCGCACTACACTCTTCCAAGTGTCACCACGCCTATCTTCATTTTCCAGAATTTCTTCGACGTAGTAGCATCTCAAATCGGCGGGTTGTTACCTTGGAACAACAGCTACAACAGAAAGTGCTTGCGCGAGATACTGAGCTCGACGAAACGCGTTACGCCAATGATTGAGAAGAAAGAGTGGAGCAACATCGTATGGAGGTCGAATCACTGTACGCCTATCGAGCGGACTGCCCTGTTTACAGCTGCTTCGATAGTGTACGAAGAGCTTGATAAAGCGGTGGGGAGTGTAGGCACAATAGCTGCTTATGTTCCAACTGCCGCGTGGCATGGAGCGATTTTCATGAATACGTGGACGAAGCCATGGGTTCGGGGAGCAACGTTAGCAGATTCTGTTGTGGAGTGGTTTGCTGATGTTTTAGTCGAAAGGTTTATACACATGTAAATTGGTGTGTTTCCTTATATTTTGCAAGGTGCCCTGCCCGCATTCGCATCTTGGGCCATCTTTCTGCAGCAGTCATAACTGGTAGTTTGAACAACAACGTATTGCATAAGTTTTGGTCTGATGACTTGCTTTGTAAGACGTGAGATCATACTTTTTATAAGCTTGCTACAGATTTGCTTTCACAACTGAAGCATGAACACATTAAAAGCTGCACTTCACTGTAGTCCAAATTAACAAACTTTGTGCCAAATAAAAGAACAAACTGTCATTTCTTCAAAATGCGTGCTTCTTGAAATTCTTCCTCAGTAGGTTCTTTCCACTCCTCTTTTCCATTCACTTCCTTCCCCTTCCCCTTCCCTTTGCCCCTTCCTCTCCCAACAGCTACCACTGCCCCTCCCTCTCCCTCCTCTCCATCTTCCCCTTCATCCTCTTCCTCCCCTCCCTTCAGCTTCCCCCCACTCTTCTTCCCTGCTTTTCCCCCTCCCCTCTTCCCCGCTCCTCCTTTCCCCCCTCCCTTCCCTCCCTTCCCGCCCTTCCCTCCCTGCCCTCCGTACTTAGCCTCTAGGGAATCACACAGATCCTCAGCAGCTCGAGCACTCGCTGATTGGCGGTTGAGAATGAGAGCCATCAGGCCCTGGTTGCTCTCGTATTCGCTGCTGTTGGGTTCGGGGTAGGGGACAGACAAGGGACAGACACTCTCTCGCTGTTTGAGAATGAGAGCCATCAGCTCCTGGTTGCCCTTGTATTTGCTGCTGTTGGGGTCGGGGAAAGGGAAGGGAAATGACAGGGGGAAGGGAAGGGAAATGACAGGGGGAAGGGAAGGGAAATGACAGGGGGAAGGGAAGGGAAATGACAGGGGGAAGGGAAGGGAAATGACAGGGGGAAGGGAAGGGAAATGACAGGGGGAAGGGAAGGGAAATGACAGGGGGAAGGGAAGGGAAATGACAGGGGGAAGGGAAGAGCCTGGCTACAGAGACTCAAACAGGTTATCAGCAGCTTGAGCCCTTGCTGATTGCCGGTTGAGAATGAGAGCCATCAGCTCATGGTTGCTATCACCTAAGCTGCTGGTCAGACTGGGGTATGGTACAGACGGGAGGGGGGAGGGAGGTGAGCGTGCATGATGAAATGCAACTTGAGCCCTCGCTGATTGCCGGTTGAGAATGAGGGCCATCAGCTCCTGGTTGCTATCTTCATTGCTGCTAGTTAGAATCAATCAAGATATGGAAACAACAAGATGAAGGGGGAAGGGAGGAGGAGAGTGAGGGCATGTGAGGGGACCTCTGCAGCTTGAGCTTCTGGTTGCTCTCATGTTTGCTGGTAGTTAGAATCAAGGTATGGAAACGACAAGAGGGAGAGGGCACGTGTTTTGAGACGTCCCAAAACGAATTAGTGGCATCAGCTCCTGGTTGCTATCATATTTGCTGCTAGTTAGAATCAAGGTATGGAAACGACAAGAGGAAGGGAGGAGGGTTAGTACCTTAATGTTGTGTGCAGTGCATGCGTGAGTGCATGTGTGAGTGCATGTGTGAGTGCATGTGTGAGTGCATGTGTGAGTGCATGCCTCAACAAAAGGAAGCGGAGGGAGACAAGTCAGAAGCATCCTTACTCCGCAGCAAGGGGGTCGGCGCGAGGAGTGGGGGAGGGGGGCATATGCATTCACATGTGCATGCATGCATCAACAAAAGGAATGGAAGGAGACAAGTCAGAAGCATGCTTACTCTGCAGCAAGAGGGTCCGCAGGCGCAGGTTTCTTGGCAACTTCTGCAGCCCATTTCTTGTACGCCTTAGTAGCCTTCAGCTCGCCTGATTCGATAGCAGCATCAAGTATATCCTTGAAGCGATGAGAGTCGATCTTCGGCCGTGCACAGACTTGACATTCCAGCACCCTGTGAGTGGTGACCGAGAGGAATCAGAAAGAGGGAATGAGGATAGAGCACGTGGAAGAGAGAGAGTAAGGGGCCAATTCCATAGCAGCATCAATTATATCCTTGAAGCGATGCGAGTCGATCTCTGGCCGTGCACAGACTTGGCACTCCAGCACCCTGCGAGAGGTGAAGAGCGAGAGGAAGCAGAAAGAGGGGAGGGGGACAAAGAGTGGAGGATAGAGTAAGGGGGGCAGTCCCATAGCAGCATCAAGCAAAGCCTTGAAGCGATGCGAGTCAATCTTCGGCCGTGCACAGACCTGGCACTTCAGCACCCTGTGAGTGGTGACAGGGAAAAGGAGGGAGTAAGACGTCAGAACGTGAAGGAAAAGCAAGGGGAGTAGTAGTCGAGGAAGAGAAGTTAAGCAGGCAGAACCCTAAACCATCACCACATTCCCTCCACCTCACATGCCCATCCGTCCTTTAAATCGCCCATGACCCCCTCCCACACTCACTCTCCCGCCTTCCACACACATCTCGCCCCTTCATTCTCCCCCCTAACTCACATGTCCATCCACCCTTTGAACCGCTCATACAGCTCCTTCAGCTCCTTGGCCTCCTGTTCTGACCCCCTCCCACACTCACTCTTCTGCCTTACACACACATCTCGCCCCTTCATTCTCCCCCCCAACTCACATGTCCATCCGCCCTTTGAATCGCTCATACAGCTCCTTCAGCTCCTTGCCCTCCTGCTCAGACCTCATCCCACTCTCTGCTGCCGCAACTCTCCCATTTCACTCATTTTACTCTCCATCTCCCTACCAACTCACATGTCCATCCGCCCTTTGAATCGCTCGTATAGCTCCTTCAGTTCCTTGGCCTCCTGCTCCGACCCCCTGTACTGCCGCTCGAACGCCACAATGTCAGCCACTGTGATCTAACGGTTGGGAACGGACGAGAGAGGGAGACGAGTGAAGAAAGGGAGAAGAGGGAAGGAAGGAGGGGGGCTCTGCCTTCAGCTCCGTCATTTCCTTGGCCTCCTGCTCCGACCCCCTGTACTGCCGCTCGAACGCCAAAATGTCAGCTACTGTGATATGAGGGAGAGGAGTGTGGAAAAGAGAGGAGAGGATACCCCTGGTAAACCGAAGCACACGTGTACAAGACGATCTCCTTCTCAGATCAATGTTCCCTCCCTCTCTCACCTCGCTATACATCGTCCGGAAGAACTTGTCAAGGTCTGCCACCGTGTTGCCTTCTGAAGCGACTCAAAAGTCCAAGGCCCTGCGAACATGAACCACACCACCTCCCTGTCCTTTCCCTCTCCTTTCCCTCTCCTTTCCCTCTCCTTTCCCTCTCCTTTCCCTCTCCTTTCCCTCTCCTTTCCCTCTCCTTTCCCTCTCCTTTCCCTCTCCTTTCCCTCTCCTTTCCCTCTCCTTTCCCTCTCCTTTCCCTCTCCTTTCCCTCTCCTTTCCCTCTCCTTTCCCTCTCCTCCCTCTCACCTCGTTGTACATCGTCCGGAAGAACTTGTAAAGGTCTGCCACCGCGTTGCCTGATAGGCCCTGTGAACACAGAGCACATCATGAATGCATGGGAAAGTTCGTTTCTTAGCATCACGGACCCCCCTCCTCCCCCCCACCAAAAAAATAAAACTCAACAACACAAAAACGTCAGATATAAGCTAGTGGGAATGAAAAACAAGCGCCACAAAGACTCGCATTGTAATTGAGCGATTTCTGAGAATTCTCGAAAATCGCTCACAAGGATTGTAATCGAGCGCCTCAACACTCACATCGCCATCCTCGCCGTCCCCATCGCCAGTGCAGCCAGTCTCGTCATACACCTTCCGCCTCTCAGCGTCTCCCAACACCGCAAACACCCGCTGCAGCGCCTGAAAGCGTTCGTTGGCCGTCTGAAAGAGACACGGGGGATTGGATGTTAGTTGGATGGTTGTGAGGCTGGATTGTTGAATGTTTGGATGTCAGGGAATCAGATGATTAAAAAGGTCTGGTGGTTGGGGAATTGGAGGAATATACTCGCCGTGACACGTGGCAGCACGCGCCTCTCTACATCTTCTCTCCTCTTCCCCATCACCTACTCCCTTCTCTCACCGCATCGCCCGGGTTCTTGTCGGGATGCAGTCGAAGCGCCATGCGGTGATAGGCCTTGCGAATCTCCGCGTGCGTCGCGTCGCGACTCACTCCGAGCACCTGCGATTCGATGTCAAACGTATTCAGTGGAAGCGAAGAGATGGGGTGAAAATGAATCTTGAAGTATGGTTCGGCTGAAAACTTTACCGCGTAAAGATCCTTCGGATTCGCCTCATCGCCAGCCGTAGATTCCTTGTTCTTCTCATCCGAGGCCGTCGGATCTTCCTTATTCTCTTTCACGGGATTCTCCGCAGCCGCGAAGAGAGGCGACTTGCGTCTGCTCGGCTCTACCTCTGCGCGCTGCCTTTTCTGCACCATCTCCGGACTCGCACTTAGCAAAGAGACTCTCTTAGCGGGCTGCGCAACGGGTAATCAGACGGAGCGAGATTGCGGAGTGCGATGTCGCAAGCCGCGACTGTGCAGGGCAACTGATTCTAGCAAATCAGATTCTAGCGAATCAGCAACGCAGACTGGCCTAGTAAATTGCTGAAAATTGTTCGCAAGCCTTCAGTGTCTCTTAAAATACGGAAAGCCGTACTCTGTTGAGCACGGACTAGCTCGGACCTTCAGGAGTTAACTATACTAGGGAATTGTAGGCGCTGCTTGAGAGTCGGGACAGGACCTAGGGAGTTGTTTCCGTAAAATGGGGCTGGGAGTTAGTTTTGGGTGTCGTGTCCAGTACACTTCCATTCAGCTTCCAGTTTTCACCACACTGAACCAGGTTTTACACGAATCAAACCGTTTTGAAACCATGCGCCTGTTCGACGCGCCCTAGGTTTCGCTTTTACTGTCAGAAGTGGCGGGAAGGAGATTCTAGTCACGAATTTGAAGTTTCAAACTCGATAGCCTTTCAGACTGTGCTCCATTACAAGCATAGGATATCTTCTAGATATCTCAACACGCTAGGACACATGTGAGCACTTCACTGTACAACAGCTACCTTGAAAGGTACAATAGGCTGACGCAAGGGACTCAGCTGAAATCAGCACATCCATAGACCAATAAATGGAACAAGAATATGGTATTGTACCAAAAACTCAAGTTACATTACTTGTCAGGTACCGTATCAGCTTCTGAAATCATCACCCGATGAGATGAAAAGGGCACAAACAGCAATCACGTGTTACATTCCATGCTCTAACGGCCATCGATCATTGTCATCTCCCTTGGTATCATCATTAAAATCTCCAGCATATATCCTGAGACTTCCTCCCACATCCTCTGTCACATCATCCCCCCCACCCATCCCACTTCTTCCCCCGTCACCACCATTTTCATATTTCCGCGCTTGTTTTAGCTTCTTTTTCTTCTCCTGCTTCCCATTCTCAACAGCACCAACAGCAGCACCAGCAGCAGCACCATCCACCGCATCCTCTTCCCACTCCCCCTCTCCCATCCCCTTGCTTCGCCCCCTTCTCTTTCTCTCCTTCCCTCGTGCTCCTGCTCTTTCCCCCACCCCACTAACATCATCCTCTTCCTCTCCCCATTCCCCCTTCTGCATCCCTCTCGATCCCCTCTCCCACCTCCCCCCCTCCTCCTCTTCTTGATCCTTGAACCTATGCCTCCTCCTCCTCCCACCGCTTTCCTCATCCTCGTTATAACCATACTCCTTAGAAGCCCGGAACCTCCCTCTCCCTTCCACCTCCTCGTCGTCCTCATCCTCCTCTCCCTCACTCTCCCTTCGGTACCGACTTCTACCCTTGCCTACTCTTCCCCCAGTACCATCCCCTCTTCGATACTCCCGTGGCCTATCACCTGCTGCAGCACTCCCCTCCTCTCCACTCCCCCAATCACCATCACGATCATCCCTATCCCCATCCCTATCTCCATCCCCATCCCAATCACCTCGTGATCCCCTCCCCCTCCCCTGCCATGGTCCCCCACCCCTCCCGCCCATCCCCCCTCTGCCTCCTCCTCCTCGCTCCCCCCATTCCCTTGCTCCCCTCTCCTCTCCCCTCACCCCCATGTGTCCCTCCCTTCCTCCCTGCCACCGTCCCTCCGACTGTTTCTGCTGATGAAAGTTGGGGAACAAGAAAACAGCGGACGAGCATTGTTAATTTTGTTTGCAATCTCAACCAGACAAATTGACACATGCGACCAGAGAATCAAGTCACATGCAACTTGAATCAAAAGCTGTCTTATCTGATCAGACTTTTAGGGACATCTTATCTCGACGCCTGAATGAAACTTCGCCTCAATCTCAGAGGCGCCTCAAGAATGCTTCCTCTAAACAACACCTCAAACAAATCAAAACGCGTCCTCAAAGCTGGTGCCTCTTTCAACCTTTACACTGCCTCAAAGGTCGTCTTTTATCTGAAGGCGCTTCAAGAATGCTTCATCACACAGCACCTCACCTGAAAGCTGCTGCCCCCTTCGCCCTCCCTGGCAGCAGTGAAGTTGAGCCTGCAGGCAACAACGGAGATGCAGATGGGCATGGGATTGGAAAGGGAAAAGAGTGTGAGAGGGAGGAAGGGTGGGGAAATGTGGCTAAAGAAGAAGGCACAGGGGACATGGGGTCACCCTCCCTCGCAGCAGAGAAGTTGAGCCTGCAGGCAACAACGGAGATGCAGATGGGGATGGGGGTGGGCATGGGGATGGGCAAAGGGATGGCGAGAAGAGTGTTGGATAAGTGCTTAGGAGGGCAGTGAAGGAATATAAAGTGCACAGGGGTATGGGTATGGGCATGAGGAGTGGGTATGCAGTTGGTCGGATTGGGAATGGGGATGGGGATGGGGATGGGGATGGATGGTGGTGCCGGAACTATGTGGGGGGATGGGGATGGGGATGGGTGTCAGCACAGTGAAGACTAGAGGTGAAGATTAGAGTCCGTCTAATCACATTATCATCTCCTTACTCACCCATATTCCCACATCACCTCATTAACTCTCATCCATCTCCAACCCCTCACCTCTCTCTCATCACCACCTCCCACCTCTCACAAACACCCCTCACCTCTCGCCACCACCCCTAACCTCTCATCAAAGCCCCTCACCTCTCGCCAATCGGTCGCTTCCTTCTCATCCCCCCTGCTTCGTCTCCCTCCACATTTTCCTCCTCCCCTTCATTCACACCATACGGCCTCTCCTCTTCTCCCTTTTCCTCTCCCCTCTCCCTGCTCCTCTTTCTGCCCCTCTCCTCCTCCTCCCCTCTCTCCCTCCTCCTCTCCTTGCTTCCTCTCCTCCTCTCCCCACCTCTCTCCCTGCTTTCCCCTCCTTCAGACTCCTGCTGCACTGAAGGGGTGTTTCGTTGCATGCTGCCTGCTCGCTCTCCCCTCCCCTCTCCCCTGCCCTCTCCCCTCCCCACACCCCTCTCCTCGCTTCCCCACTCCTCCTCCTCCTCCCTCTCTCTCCCCCGATGCCTCCTCTCTCCTCTTCCCTCTCCCTCACGTTCCGCTATCTCATCCCTCCCTCTCCAATCCCCCCTCTCCCCCCTACCCCCCCTGTCGGGAAAGCCCATCCTCCCCCCTCCGCCCCTGCCTCTTCCCCCTCTCCCCCCAAGCCTTCCGCCTCTTCCCCTTCCCCCACCTCCACGTCCGAATGGGCCAGCGCCACTGCAATCAGTCAGGGGAGTGTTTGCAAGGTGAAGAAAGGGGGAAGGATATATGAAGTGTGGGAGAAGAAAACAGAAGAAAGCTGCGGAGGAACAAGAAGGCTGAGAAAAATGGTTTTTGAGGAATGTCAGAAAACAATGGGAGGGGTGGAGGGAGGAGGAAGGGGAGTGGGGCGGAATCAGCGTGGAGGAACGGGAAAGGGAAAGAGAGAGACATAAGCAAGCGCAAGGAGATATGGAGAACAGAAAACAATCATAAGCAGCATCCTTATAGCTTATGATTGAATATAAATGAATGAATGCAAAATAAGAGTACGACTTATAACTTACTCGTTATAAGTTGACACAGGAAAGATACAATCATGAAAACACACCCACTCACCCATCAGGACCGAATTGTTGATGTCCCCCTCCTCCCTCAAACCCTTGCCCCATGCCCTGACCCATGCCCTGACCCATGCCCATTCCTCCTCCCATTCCAGGCCCCATAGGTCCCATCCCCATGCCTCCTCCCCCCATCCCCATGCCTCCTCCCCCCATCCCCGGACCTCCCATGCCCATGCCAGGCCCTCCCATTTCTCCGCCCATCCCCCCGCCCATGCCTCCCCCCATGCCCCCGCCCCCAAAGCCAGGCCCCATGTTGAAATCGCCTCCCATACTGGGACCCATGCCCTGGCTCCATCCGAACTCTGCCACAGGGGAGGGGAAGGACAGGAGCACAGGACAGGGGCACAAGACATGGCTCATATGTGAGCCAGCCAGCTAAGCCTATACCATATATATTGGTGTGACTTTTGAGAATTCTCAAAAGTCACACCAATCGAGCTAAGCCTATACCATATATATTTTGGCGCCTCAAAGATCACCGCTAGGGGCACAAAACAGGGCTCATATGTGAGACAGCTAGGCCTATACCATAGTTCTGAGAAGTGCTACAAGCTCATCACCACACAGAACCACCTAGGACCGTACCTGACCCAGCAAAGGTCATACCTGGGCCGGGGAACACTCCAGGCTGGTTCGGAAAAGGACCGTTGAAGTTGCCACCATCGCCCATACCCATACCCATGCCTCCACCTCCCATACCCATACCCATGCCTCCACCTCCCATGCCCACGCCTATGCCTCCGCCCATGCCTCCCCCCATGTTGTTGCCATGCGGGCAGTCCCGCATCATGTGGTCCTTGGCCCCACACGTGTAGCACGCCCGGTCCTGCTGGATGGAGGGATGGGATGAAATGCAGGGTGTAGAGATGACGGGGAGTGTAAGAAGGAGGGAGGAGATGGGAAGCAGTTTCAAATCATGCGGTCGGTAGCTCCACACGTGTAGCATGCACAGATGTGGTGGAGGGAGGGGGAAGAGACACGAGACACTTTGAAAAGTGGACGATTACAAGTGCAAGGAGGAGGGAAGGGAAGGGAAGCAGTCCCACATCATGTGGTCTGTGGCTCCACACGTGTAGCATGCACAGATGTGGTGGAGGGGGGGGGAAGAGACACGAGGCAGAGTTCAAAGTCAGAGACTCTCTGTGCGGTGTGCTCTCGAAGAGTAGAGAAAGGTCTCCGTGTGGTGGGCTCTCTCATCCCTCCATGCTGGTAGGCTTGCAGGCTGTGCTGTGTGCCCAAAACTTAAAGCCTACGAGAAGTTGACTTTTGAGTCGACTCAAAGGTCTACGTGTGGTGGGCTCTCTCATCCTTCCATGCTGGTAGGTTTGCATGCTGTGTGCCCAGAATTTAAAGCCTACGAAAGGGAAAAGAATACACACCTTTTTCTTGGGCCCACCCATGCCGTGGTGTTCCATATGATCTGGTTCCATGCACACACGGACATATGGGGAAGGCATGGGAGGAGGGGAGAGAGATGGGAAGAAAGGGCGGTAAAATGACCGTGGGGAGAGGGGGGGTTGAGAGAGAGTGGAGAGAGAACGGAGCGGAGAAGAGAGAGAGCGTGGGGCCAGAGAGTGAAGAGAAAGCGGTGCGAGCAGAAAAATGATACGATTGAAAGAGCAACAGGAATCAGAAAACAAAGAGGAAATAGGTAATAAAAGCCGATGTGATTTTTGAGGCGCCTCAAAACAGCCAAGGTTTGGTAAAAATGGAGGAGCAAGCGATTACAAGGCAAAGAGGGGACTTACCACCATGCCAGCCCCGCTGCTGGTTGTGAAAATGATCCGGCCCTCCCATATGTGGCCCTCCCCCCATCGGTCCCCCCATTGGTCCCCCCATAGGTCCCCCCATCGGTCCCCCCATTGGTCCCCCCATAGGTCCCCCCATCGGACCCCCCATAGATCCGCCCATAGGCCCCATAGGGCCCATACGACCACCCATCGGACCCCCCATATGGCCCCCAATAGGGCCCCCCATAGGTCCGCCCATACCTCTGCCCATAGGCCCGCCCATAGGTCCCCCCATAGGCCCCATCCCAGGTCCCATCCCCCCACCCATAGGTCCGCCCATGGGTCCGCCCATAGGCCCCCCCATTGGTCCCCCCATAGGCCCCATGCCTCCCCCCATCCCAGGTCCCATGCCTCCGCCCATACCCCCGCCCATACCTCCGCCCATGCCTCCGCCCATTGGCCCCCCCATACCCCCGCCCATCCCTCCACCCATGCCTCCCATGTCAGGACCCATCCCCATGCCCATAGGCCATTCTCCCATGTTTCCCCCCATGTTTCCCCCCATGTTTCCGCCCATTCCCCCCATAGAGCCTCCCATGTGCGGACCCATCTGGCCCCCGCCCATCTGCCCCATCTGCCCCATCTGGCCCCCTCCCATCTGCCCATCCATATGCTGCTGCTGCTGCTGCTGCTGCTGCTCTTGCTGCTCTTGCTGCTCCTGCTTCTTCTGTTGCTTGAGTTTTTTCTTCTTCTTCTTCCCCTTAACCTTCTTTCCCTTCCCCGTTCTGCCTTCCTTCACCTCCCCTTCCCCTCCCCATTCTTCTCCCCCTTCTTCTCCCCCTTCTTCTCCCCCTTCCCCTTCCCCACCGCCCTCTTCCCCTTCTCCTCCTTCCCCTCCACCTTCCACTTCCCCCTCTACCGCATCCCCCTCCCCTCCCTCCCCTACTGCGCCTCCAATCACTTCCCCATCGCCCTCAGCATAAGCACCCCCAGTACTGTCACCCTCAGGAGTGGCAATCGAACCTGGTGCAGCAGTATCATCACCAGCAGCAGTGTCACCACCACCACCAGCGGCACCAGCACCAGCAGTGCCATCACCATCACCACCAACATCATCAGCACTATCAGCAGCAGCACCAGCAGAAGCAGCAGCAGCAGCACCACCGCCACCATTAGAAGAAACGGCAGCAGGACCACCATCAGCAGCAGCATGGGTTGTACTAGCAGGCCCGGTCACACCATCACTCACCTCCTCCTCTTCCTCCTCCTCCCCTTCCTGCTGCTTCTCCCCCTCCCCATCCTGCTGCATCTCCCCTTCCCCATCCTTCCCCACCTCCTCTCCTCCATCCCTTGACATATCCCCTCCTTCTCCCCCTCGCCCTCCCCCTCCACCTTCCACCTCCTGTTCTTCCTTACAAACAGCAGCATTAGCGTTACCACTAACAGGTGCCGGCCCCGCACCAGGCTTGCTCACACGCTCGCTCGCATCTGCACTGCCAGAAACAGCAGCAGGGGAAGTGGCAGCAGCAGCCACAGCAGCAGAGGTGGCAGTGGTGGAAGCCCCAGCGGCAGGGCGAGCAGGGACGCGCTTGGGCTTTCCACTTCCTGATGCTGCACTGTGTTCCTCGCCAGAAGCAGCAGCAACAGGAGCTGCAGCAACAGCACGAGCAGGAGCAGAGGCAGCGGGAGCAGATGAAGAAACAGGGGCAGAATTGTTCGACCCCATAGACTGTTTGGTAGTCAATGGTTGCAGTTGCTGTTGCTGTTGTTGTTGCTTATGTTGCTGTTGCTGTTGCTGTTGTTGCTGCTGCTGCTGTTGCTGTTGCCGCTGCTGGTATTGTTGCTGCTGCTGCTGCTGCTGCTGCTGCTGCTGCTGCTGCTGCTGCTGTTGTTGCCACTGCTGCTGCTGTTGTTGTGGCTGCTGCTGCTGCTGCTGCTGCTGCTGCTGCTGCTGCTGTTGCTGCCACTGTTGTTGCTGTGGCTGCTGCTGCTGCTGCCATTGTTGTTGCTGCTGCTGTGGCTTCTGCATCTGCCCCTGCTGCATCTGCCCCTGCTGCATCTGCCCCTGCTGCATCTGCCCCTGCTGCATCTGCCCCTGCTGCACCTGCCCCTGTTGCATCTGCCCCTGCTGCATTTGCCCCTGCTGCCCCTGTTGCATCTGCCCCTGCTGCATTTGCCCCTGCTGCCCCTGTTGCATCTGCCCCTGCTGCATTTGCCCCTGCTGCATCTGCATCTGCCCCTGCCCCTGCGCCTGAACCCCAGGCTGCAACTGTGCAGCCTTGAACCGATCAACAGCCTGGCGGAGCGTCATGTTGGGGAGGAGGTCGTCGTTGCGATACTGGGTGGACGAGCACTTGGGGCAGCTCCCCTTGGCCAGCAGCTGCTGCCGAATGCCTGGAGCGAGGAGAAGGGAAGGAAGAAATAAAAGAGGTTCATCAGCATCCCTGGCCCTGCTGCCATGCTACCCACCCATCCCTCGCCCTGCTGCTATGCCGTGCCACAAACACAGACATCCACCCAGCACTCACACTGCTGCCATGCTACACACCCATCCCTCGCCCTGCTGCTATGCCATACCACAAACACAGACATCCACCCAGCCCAGCACTCACACTGCTGCCATGCATGCCATACACCCAGCCACCCGACACTCACACTGCTGCCATGCATGCCATACACCCAGCCACCCGACACTCACAGTGCTGCCATGCATGCCATACACCCAGCCACCCGACACTCACAGTGCTGCCATGCATGCCATACACCCAGCCACCCGACACTCACAGTGCTGCCATGCATGCCATACACCCAGCCACCCGACACTCACAGTGCTGCCATGCATGCCATACACCCAGCCACCCGACACTCACAGTGCTGCCATGCATGCCATACACCCAGCCACCCGACACTCACACTGCTGCCATGCATGCCATACACCCAGCCACCCGACACTCACAGTGGTCGCAGAAGGAGAGGTGGCAGCAGGGGATGAGCACAGCACTAGTCGCCCTGCTGCCATGCCTGCTGCCATGCTGCATCCACACAAGTGCACCCACCTGCCACTGACACTGTTGGTCACACCACTGCACTACACCCGCTCGCCACTCACACTGATCGCAGAAGGAGAGGTGGCAGCAGGGGATGAGCACCGCATTGCGGAAGAGCGAGGAGCAGAGCGGGCACTTGAGCTCTGGAGGAACATCTGCTGCCCACCCACTCACTGTTTGCCACCCCATACACACATACACCCACCCACCCACCATGCAGCACTCACACTGGTCGCAGAAGGAGAGGTGGCAGCAGGGGATGAGCACTGCATTGCGGAAGAGCGAGGAGCAGAGCGGGCACTTGAGCTCTGGAGGGACCTCCGCTGCCTGGGGCTGCCTCATGGGTGCGAGAAAAGGCTCCGTCTCCCTTGCAAAGGCTTGCCTGGTGGTTGGACGAGGTGGAAACGGTAACGAGGGATTGAGGAACAAAGGAGGAGCAGAGTGGGCACTTGAGCTCTGGTGGGACCTCCGCTGCGTGGGGCTGCCTCATGGGCGCTAGAAAAGGCTCCGTCTCCCTTGCAAAGGCTTGCCTGGTGGATGGACGGGAGCAATGGGAGAGTTGAAAGAAGTTATAGACGAATCGCTGAATGAGAAGGGTTGTGGCAACAAGGGGCACTTGAGCTTTGGAAGGAACCCCACAGCATGGGGCTGCCTCATGGGCGCTAGAAAAGGCTCCGTCTCCCTTGCAAAGGCTTGCTTGGTGGATGGACGGGAGAGATGAGAGGCGAAGAGGTTGGAAGGGATAACAGGGGGTGGATGAATGAGAAGACGTTGTGGCAACAAGGGGCACTTCTGCAGGGACCTCCTCACGGCTTGCAAAGAAAGAAAGGGCACGAGCAAGGGTTCTGTTCTGTCTCCCTCGCAATGGCTTGGATGGTGGAGGGAAGGCATGGATGAAGACAACGAGGGGTTGAGGAATAAGATCGGGCTGTGTGGCAGTTATTCACTTCACTCATCTGGCATGAGGTACCCCCCTCCTGGTCTGGGCGCAAGAAGCTTGTGGTCCGATCACCACGACTTGCCTGACTTACACAGCACACAACCATCCACACGCAAGAACCACTCACTCGTTGCCTTGCTGCATGTCGTGTTGGGCGCCCATAGACGCCATGGACCCATCCGGCATGAGGTAGCCGACCTCAGTGGTCCGGTGGAAAAAGTACCCTTCATTCACAGATGAATTGGCACTGACGATTCATCCACTCTTATACGATACAAGCCAAGAACCACTCACTCGTTGCCTTGCTGCATGTCGTGCTGCGCGCCCATAGACGCCATAGACCCATCCGGCATGAGGTAGCCCCCTCCCTGGTCCGATGGAGAGATACAAACAACAAGCAGCCATTCACGCACAGATGATGTGCCAGTGAGTGACAGAGACAGGAAACACCCATCCACCCGCACACGACTCACTCGTTGCCTTGCTGCATGTCGTGCTGTGCGCCCATAGAAGCCATGGACCCATCTGGCATGAGGTAGCCCCCTCCCTGGTCCGGGCGCAGGAAGCTCTTGGGAATGCCTGAGGGGGGTCGTACCCTCCTCACCACATCGAACGCTGGATCGCCGTTGGTGGGGCAGTGCTTGATGTAGTGACCTGGGGCAGGAGAAGGGAAAGGGGAGGGTGGCGGGGTGGAGAGATTGTAACTTGGATTGGAGGGATGCCCGAGGGGGGTCACTCGCACCCGTCTCATCGCGTCAAATGCTGGATCGCCGTTGGTGGGGCAGTGCTTGATGTAATGAGCTATGAGGAAGATCCTAAACTCCTACTGCAGTCAAGTGGGAGCAATTGCGTCAAGCTCCTTGTGCCATGCCTGGTTTATTGCAGAGGTAACAGCTGGGCGCAGATATAACTGGTACTGAATCGCCTCAGAAACATACCTGGTTTATTGCAGCGGTAGCAGATGTAACCGGGATGTGGAACTGCATTTCGTTTTTGAGAATTCTCAAAAACACCCTGCAGCATCAAGAATTCTCAAAAACATACCTGGTTTATTGCAGCGGTAGCAGATGTAACCGGGATGTGGGACCGCGTTTCGTTGGGGAAAGGGAAAGCGCCCTGAAAACAAATCGTCACATGCACACATCCACATGCACAATCGCATGCACAGTCACAGACACACACTCACAGACATACAGACACAGACACATGCACACAGTTACATGCACACAGACATAGTCACATCCACAAAATTGCAGAGCAGAGAAAAAGACACGAGTCCCAAGCTGAATACATGCACACACAGATCCCAAACAGTGGCTTTCAGATCCATCTTTCAATATTGCATGTGAAAAAACAGCTTTTGCATGATCGCAGTGCTTCTCGGGGGAAAAACATTCTATAATAGCATAATTGCATTGCTTTGAACTGCATTAAAGAGGATTGCTTTGGGCATGATACGTACCACCACCACCTCCTCTGCCGTAGAATCCTCCTCGGCCGTAGCCACGGCCCCCAAACTGATCTGGAGGCCTGCATCAGCACTCAGAAGAGGAGAGGAGGAAAACGTTTGGAAACAAAAACAAAACAAATTCAAATAGACTCACACATGTGGCCACGCCCCCCTGCAAAAGCATCTCTAGAATAACCTCTGCCACGCGAGTGGCAAGCAAAACCAACTGCACACTGGCGAGCAGGAAGGCAGCTAGACAAACAGGCAGGCAGGCAGGCAAGCAACTCACCTCTGCCAGTCCGTGGTGGCCTGGTCTGGTCCACCATGGCAGACATCATGCGCGTCTCCTCATGTCCCACATGCCCCCATGCTCCCCATGCCCAACACGCCCCCATGCTCCCCATGCCCCACACGCCCCCATGCTCCCCATGCCCAACACGCCCCCATGCTCCCCATGCCCAACACGCCCCCATGCTCCCCATGCCCAACACGTCCCCATGCTCCCCATGCCCAACACGCCCCCATGCTCCCCATTCCTCCCATAACCCGCCCTCCGCGCTCACCTCTGCCAGTCCGTGGTGGCCTGGTCCACAATGGCAGACATCATGCGCGTCTCCTCATCCACCTGCTCCTGCACTCCATGCCCCCCATTCCTCCCATAACTTTCCTCCCATAACCACCCCTCCCCCCCCTCCTCCCCCCCCGCCCCCTGCTCACCTCTGCCAGTCCGTGGTGGCCTGATCCACAATGGCAGACATCATGCGCGTCTCCTCATCCACCTGCTCCTGCACACTCGCCCCCACGCCCGCCATGGCCCCCATGGCCCCCATTCCTCCCGCCATCTCCCCGCCTTGCCCCGGCCCCCCTGCCCCCATCCCGGGCCCCCCTTGGCCGTTTGTGGCGCCCAGCGCTCCCCCTCCCGCTGACGCGCCCATGGCGTTGGTGGGCGGGGCTGCTGACGTGGAAGCAGGGCCTGACGCGGCAGACATGGACACGTGGCCGCCGACATCACCGTAGATGTCTGCCAGGTCATCCATCATGCCGTCCATGTCCTTCTGACGAGGCAAGAAGGAACATATGCATAAAGAAGAAAAGAAGTAGAGGGATAACAAGCTTAATGTTAACAAACAAGGTCGTTAAATCAGCCTCACAGTGCCACTCAGCTTCTGTGGCGCCTCAATAGGCGACATGCTACCACAGTCCCACATGCTTCGGACACTGTAAGCTTCAAAAATCAAGATAAAGCCCGAAACTTAGGCCTATGTGCATTCACAGACCAGCACATTGATATACCGCTCATTGCTGCTGCTTGTAGTCCCCTGTAACCGGTGAAAAGCGCGTGCTGCTGCGCCCAGTTTAAGATGCCTCGGAACGCCACAGTTTGTCCTGCAACTCACCAGCTGCTGGTTGTAGCCCTTGTATGCCGGGTAAGAGGGTGCCTGCTGCTGCTGCTGCGCCTGGGACTGGGCCACAGCAGTAGCTGCACCAGCAGCACCAGCACCGGCACCACCACCAGCGCCAGCGCCAGCGCCAGCGCCAGCACCAGAAGCGAAGGGAGCGCCAGCGCCAGAGGCATGACTGCCAGGTCGGAAACTGAAGAGAGGGACGCAGATTGCAAGGACGGACATATGCTCTAGAAGTTCCCCAATGATGGAGGGTGTGTGGATACGGCGGCTGATGAGAATTGAGGAGATTTTGAAAACGAGATTTTGAATGGCGGCATGCTGTCTTAAGACGTTTCAGACTCTCTGAACGGCATGCGTGCATACTCATCCAGCAGCTGCTGCAATTTGCGTAAAATGAGATTTTTACATACAGGAAACAACAAAGCGAAACAGAACAAATCAGATAAGATCTGAAAGCCCAATAAGCAGTTAGATCTGCAAGGAAACGGTTGTGAGCACATACTCGTCTGGCTGCTGCTGAGGCTGTGGCATCACCGGGGCTCTTGATCTTGGTATTCTCTTGATGATGACGCTTGTGTTGCGCGGGACTGGCTGGTGACTTCTAAGTCAACTCAAAATGGCAGGTAGAATTTTCAAGAGGGTTGTGAGCACATACTCATCTGGCTGCTGCTGAGGCTGTTGCACCACCCGGGCTCTTGATCTTGGAATTCTCTTGATGATGACGCTGGTGTTGCGCGGGACTGGCTGGTTGTCGTCGCCATACTCTGCAACCCCATGCAGCCAAGCACTAGCATGGATCCATGCGCTACGAACTGAACTAGTATTGACATAACACTGAGTACGGTGCAGTGCACCACTGAGCGCTATGGTGAACCACTGAACACCAGGCTACTCTTGACAATCTTAACAGTTTTCCACCCAAAAATCCGAAAAAGGCAGGTTATAATGCAGAAGATAACTTGAGTCACTTCAGAAACACAGAAAAAGGGAGAGGAAAGAAAATCATGCGGAAGAGAAGCATGTGGATTAAGAAGCGGAAAAGACAAATCATGTTGGTACGGAAGCATAGTGGTGCTGCTGCCATTGCCAATGCAACTGTAACGTTGCTGAGAGCTGAATTCTCAACCCTAAAGAAACAAGTATGCACGGTAAAGCAACTGTATCTGCGAGCCAGTACGAACGTGCGTATGCTTAACAGTCATCCCCGTTAAGAGCTATCCGCTACGTGCGAGCCAGTAGCGCTACTCCCCAATACCCACAACAGCAGACTGGCTACCTATACCAGGGAAGCAAATCGACGGCTTGCAACCGCTAACTGAAAGCTGACTGACTTCTCGCAGTGGATGGATCTGACAGCTTCTGATTGCTCGATCCACAGTATCAGTCAAAGTTGGACCTACGCTACGAAAACAGGTTCCACACACCATGCACTGTCCAGAACTGACTAGCTCTGTTTAGCTCCCGTCTAGGCTTGTCTCTGTTTAGCTCTCACTAGCTCTGTCCAGCTCTGACTAGCTCTGTCTAACTCGTCTAGCTCCGCCTAGCCCCGTCTAGCTTCGTCTGGCTCCGTCCAGCTCCGTCTATCATCAGGAAGGCAGCCTCGTGACGACTCTGATAGTCTAATTCATGAACAAGAAGCCATGATGACCCATTGATATGGAGAGCAATCAGCCTGCACGAAATCTCGTGCACTTGTAACCCTGAACAATCGTCCAACGTCCAGAACCATCACCCTTCCCCCTTCCATTTCTTTCAATAAAAAAGAATAAACATATGAACAGAATGGATCGGCCAACGGCCAAAACCAATCTAAGGAAAAAAAATATATAACCTAGCTAAATCTAAGACACAGCACATAGGGAGGAATCCCAAGTGCCGTTACTATCTCCTACCTTCCTCTGTTTGCGCATCGAAAATCTGGACATCCGAGTCCATTCCGAGACCCTTCTGCTCAATAATTCGGTCCTTAAGATTCGCGACGGAAATAAAATGGCCATCCATGGCCAGCGAATCAAACTCCTTTGCGGATCGGAACTTGAAATGAATCGACATGGTCGAAGCAGAAGCAGCTGACCCGAAACTTGCTACTTTTCCTCTCTTTTCTTCAGATGCTGAGGATAACTTCAGGAACACGTAACACGTTCTTAAAAATACGAAAGCAAAACGGATAGGGAACAAGTCTCAACGAGAAACCGTCAACGGAGGTGAATCAATGAGCCACTGGTGTTGTCGAAGCGATGGATTGGATGTTGACAGATGACCTCGAGATTGTCAGATGAAAGATGGTGACGAAAACGGAGTTGTATGATGGTGATGATGATCGGTATGAGAGGGATGGTGGTGGTGGCGAGATACCGCGCTAAAAGCAGACCCGATACGTGTCGACAGGTACACCTAACCCGCGCTACCTTCGCACCAAGCCACGATTTTGCCACTTGCGCAAGGGATATTTGTCTAGTGAGTCAGCACCTAGCTGTCTGTGCTGACGGGGCAGATTTGCCCTCCGCGTGTGTCGAGCGAGAAAGTTAAGAAGCAAAAACTGTATGGTTTTGAAGTGTTTCTCTGTATTTGAGAGTGGTTCGGCAAGAATTTTGAGAATGAGATGGTGCACTAGCATGTCATCCCACAACATCGTAATGTTTTGCTGACCTTCACCATGCAACGTTTGCTGTAACCCCACCAGGCGACGACAAACCCATTGAAATTTGGGGGATTGAAATTGGTGCGGGCTAGGTGTAGCTGTCAAAAGGCAGGCTGATTGTACGGATTTACATCACTATTCAATCTGTCATACCTCTCTCCACAAAAAACGCTCGGAACGAGCGCTTCCTGCCCAAAAGGGCGGAAGGATCCGCACATGTGCAAGAAGTGCAGCGGGCGCTCTTCATTCGCGAGCGTCGATGACCGATGATGCTCGCAACCCTCCCACGCCCTTGCTGGCTTGGTAATAGGACCAGACAAGCGCAGCCACGTGATCCGGCGGAAGAAAAACGCTCGGAACGAGCGCGCCCCAAAACGCGGAAGGGTCCGCACATGTGCAGGAAGTGCAGCGGGCGCTCTTCATTCGCGAGCGCCGATGACCGATGATGCTCGCAACCCTCCCACGCCATTGCTTGCTTGGTAATAACCCCAGACAAGTGGAGGAGGGTGACCCGGCGGAAGAAAAACGCTCGGAACGAGCGCTTCCACCCCCTAAAACGCGGAAGGATCCGCACATGTGCATGAAGTGCAACGGTCGCTCTTCATTCGCGAGCGCCGATGACCGATGATGCTCGCAACCCTCCCACGCCCTTACTGGCTTGGTAATAGGACCAGACAAGCGCAGCCACGTGACCCGGCGGAAGAAAAACGCTCGGAACAAGCGCGCCCCAAAACGCGGAAGGATCCGCACAAGTGCAGGAAGTGCAGCGGGCACTCTTCATTCGCGAGCGCCGATGACCGATGATGCTCGCAACCCTCCCACGCCCTTGCTGGCTTGGTAATAGGCCCAGACAAGCGCAGCCACGTGACTCGGCGGAAGAAAAACACTCGGAACGAGCGCTTCCACCCCCAAAACGCGGAAGGATCCGTACATGTGCAGGAAGTGCAGCGGGCGCTCTTCGTTCGCGAGCGCCGATGACTGATGATGCTCGCAACCCTCCCACGCCCTTGCTGGCTTGGTAATTGGACCAGACAAGCGCAGCCACGTGACCCGGCGGAAGAAAAACGCTCGGAACGAGCGCTTCCACCCCCAAAACGCGGAAGGATCCGCACATGTGCAGGAAGTGTAGCGGGCGCTCTTCATTCGCGAGCGCCGATGACCGATGATGCTCGCAACCCTCCCACGCCCTTGCTGGCTGGGTAATAGGCCCAGACAAGCGCAATCACGTGACCCGGAGGAAGAAAAACGCTCGGAACGAGCGCTTCCAGCCCCAAAACGCGGAAGGATTCGCACATGTGCAGCGGGCGCTCCTCATTCGCGAGCGCCGATGACCGATGATGCTCGCAACCCTCCCACGCCCTTGCTGGCTTGGTAATAGGCCCAGACAAACACAGCCACGTGACTCGGTAGAAGAAAAACGCTCGGAACGAGCGCTTCCAGCCCCATAACGCGGAAGGATCCGCACATGTGCAGCGGGCACTCTTCATCCGCGAACGGCGATGACCGATGATGCTCGCAACCCTCCCACACCCTTGTTGCCTTGGTAATAGAACCAGACAAGCGCAGCCACGTGACCCGGCGGAAGAAAAACACTCGTAACGAGCGCTTCCAGCCCCAAAACGCGGAAGGATCCGCACATAAGCAAGAAGTGCAGCGGGCGCTCTACTACCACTACCACTACTATTACCATTACCATTTCCACTACCACTACCATTACAATTACCAATACCATTACCGTTACCATTACCAATTCCACTATCACTACCACTACCATTACCACTACCAATACCATTACCATTACCACTATCATTGCCATTACCATTACCATTACAATTACAATTACTATTACCATTACCATTACCATTATCATTACCATTATCACTATCATTACCATTACCATTTGCCAAACATTGTATGTTTACATTGTGTAGGCTATAGTGGGTTTAGCCTTAGGGGGTACACAAACTTAGGGTTTCCTACTTGTATCCAACTTTGTGCTAGTTCATTCATTCCTGTTTCGTTCTTTCTGACATGGTTTCAGAGCAGGTCCTCCGCTAGGACCGATTTTTTTTTAAGGGCCCACCACACTGACTGTCTACTAGCGCCCTCGTGCGCCCTACTGTCGTAGCGCCCTCGTGCGCCCCTCCTTAGCGGCCCCTTACGGCCCTGTCGACCCCTTAGCGGCCCCTCAAGGCCCAGTCGACCCCGCGCGCCGCCCCTTAACGGCCCCTTACGGCCCCGTCGACCCCGCGCGCCGCCCCTTAGCGGCCCCTTACGGCCCCGTCGACCCGCGCGCCGCCTCTTAGCGGCCCCTTCCGGCCCCGTCGACCCCGCGCGCCGCCTCTTAGCGGTCCCTTACGGCCCCGTCGACCCCGCGCGCTGCCCCTTAGCGGCCCCGTCGGCCCCGCGTTCGCCCCTTAGCGGCCCCCTACGGCCCCGTCGACCCCGAGCGCCGCCCCTTAGCGGCCCCTTACGGCCCCGTCGACCCCGAGCGCCGCCCCCTAGAGGCCCCTTACGGCCCCGTCGACCCCTTGCGCCGCCCCTTAGCGGCCCCGTCGGCCCCGCGTTCGCCCCTTACCGGCCCCGTCGGCCCCGCCAGAACCGAGCCGCCCCACGTGCGACCGCCACGGCCCCGCCAGAACCGAGCCGCCCGAACCGAGCCGCCCGAACCGAGCCGCCCAGAACCGAGCCGAGCCGCGCCGCCCGAACCGAGCCGCGTCGCCCTCCCCGTACTGAGCAGCCCTCTCTGGACCGAGCCGCCCTACCTGAGTCGCACTGCCTGCTGCTTTTAGGGTTTCGCCTGCAGCTCCTACTGCTACTGTTTCTGCTGCTACTACTGCCCTTACTGCAACTATGGCTAGCCCTGCTGTTCTAGCTTTCGATGCTGAGGGTCGCCCACTGAAGTTTGAGACCTGGCTAGATGACTTGCACCTGTTCCTCCAGCTCACTGCCAAGGAGGATATCTCGCTGTACGATCACGCACTAGGCAATGCTGCTGCCCCTGCTACTACTGCTGACAGTACTGCCCGTTCACAGTGGCAGACTCGTGACGCCCACGCTCGCTTTGCCATTCGCAACTCCCTGCCGGTAGATGAGCGCGAGCACTTTGGCCAGCACAAAACT